CAATTCTTAATCGTCTCACATTCCCATGCGGTACATTCTCAATCCCTGCTGTCGGAGATTGTGACTCATGATAGCATTTGCAGGAAGAACGGTATATAAGTCGGAGAATCCCATGTTCGAGGTCCGCGTTCAACTGTGCCGCCTGACGCGATTCGTTGTCTCCCGCGATCTACTTCGTCTCATCGGTGATCTACTTCGTCCCCCTTGCGATCGACTTAATTCTACGCTCGTGCGCCTGTGACTGATATCCCGTACGTGTAATAAAACTTCTCTTACTTTGGTCTGGCCCGACACCTTCCAGAGGTAATTTCGATCTACTGTACCCAGGTTCAGTAACCACACTTTTTCTATTTGCCTCTTAAGGATTTTCACCGCTTTACACTTTTACCTCTGAAAAAATACTCGATATGCTGTATGGCTCCTATACTGTGAAGTTTTCCATTAAAAATTCACGCACCAGCACGTGAAATGCACGCATACATGAAAGCTAAATTTAAAACTTTGGGCGGTGAGCACTTTCCAAAACTTCGACCTCCTACTTCTCTAGTCCCGAGTAAATTTCGCGTCAAAACTTTCACGAGATCGCACGTGAAATCCCGTCATACTTGGAAGCTAAACTTGAGTTTGTTAAGCCCGCACATTCGCATCAAGTGCATTATAGTCAAAAGGTGGTCAGTAGTTCGACTCTCAACTTTTGTTTATTCGTTTAGTTGGTACTGCAATATAGCAAGAAGTCAAACCTGCCAGCAAATTGCTTTTGAGAAACCTTTAAAAAAAGAAGCCATCGATAATGCTGCCGATGAGCGGTTGCAGTCTCGCTACTCCAGCTACTTTGTCCCTGATGAGTCCATTATACTGATAAGTCTCTCCTCCTCTGTCCCCACCTTTTCCTCTCAAAATTATTTCCTAAAACCGACATTCATGAAAGACAATGGCAGCCTCTTGATAACGCACAAATCGGTTAGGACAGGAAAATGCGTTTTAAATACACATTATTACTGAACCTAAGTCAGGAAAGTAAGCATTTTATTTAAATTTTCGTCAAGTGTCTTTATAACATGGCTTAACGATTTCGACCTGGTAGCTCCGCTCTAGTTCGTGGTTAAAGGCACAACAATCAAGCTCCTGAAAAAAAAAAAAAGTTTTTTGAGCCGTAAGTAAGAATTACTGCGCGAAAAACACTTTTCTGCAAACGATAAAGGAGCAATTAAGCAGGTGGAATAAAACTGAAAGCGTTAAATGTGATTATTCTTCGTGTTCTTCCTTTTTATAGGAATTTTTCTTTTGCTGTTAATTTCAAAGAACACACTTTATGATACAATTCAGGAACTTGCACATATCATTTTCTCCAAGAAAGTGGGAAAATGAAACTGGAACAGTAACGAAAGCGGAGAGGATCGATTACGCCAACACCACAGAACTACGTCTTTTCCTGCCGCATTGAGGTTGTCACTCAACTGAAAGGCAATCCTTCATTCACATCTAATAACAGCAGCGACGAAAATGACGGCTCCTAGCCTTCTGCTCTGGAAATTGTCTCTGGCGAGGAAGTGACAAGTGCTAGCAGAGTTTCATCGCTTAATTCATCATCTGCTAGAGCACCATCTTTTTCAAGCCTTGACTCCGAATCTGTACTGCTGAAATAGATCTACAGTAAGGCGATTTATTTAAAACTGACAACAACTCACAAAAGTGACAACAAGCTAGAAATCGAAAACGTAACATTCACCTACTGACAGTTTAATGGGATCAGAAATGGCAACGACCAGAAGTTTAAGGTTGCCCTATTATAGGAATTACACCAATAAATTCAAAAACATGAACGAAAATTCGAGAATCCAGCTTTAATCCCGAAGTGGTGGCCTATATCTGTGAAAAAATTCTCTCACAGGATTAAAATTTCAGAAAATTTTTGGAACCTCCGATAGATTTGTACTCAAAACTCCAGTTTCAAAAAGTAAATGATGATAACTTTGACAGTTTACGAGGTGGCTTTAATACACAACGAGGAAATATAAAAAAAAAAAAGCAATCACGTTACCCAACCATGTTAGGTCAACAATAATACAGATCATGTAAAAGAACATTCACTAGTAACAGACAACGAAACAACCTTTCGAGTGCAATCTTTAGCAGCTCATCATCGCTTTCCTCCTTTATACAATAATGTGGAAGCGAATGAGGCACTAATTCTGACGAGTTCGCCTCACCTGAGAAACAGATACTGCCAGTCCTATAATGAACAATAGAATTACAAACTATTATCGGATACGCAGCGATGAGTTTGGTAATAGCTAAACGCACATTTTTCATCAAAGCCAATGAACGAGCACAAGCTGCTAACGGCAACAAACGAATAACCAGTGAGCCATGAGGATAAGCAAAGCTGCAAAAAAAACTTACGAATATGCGTTATGGGCACATCCAATACTCGTTGACAAGTTCGGCAGACAATCCAGCAGTCTCTTCTGAGTGCCTGTCGCGTCCCTTGTTTTTATTACTGCAAGCGTCCCCTGAATTATTTACAGACAAATTCGGTACATTTCAGCATACCTAACGACAAATACTTTTTATGCTTTTCTGCATATACGCACATGCAAAAACGCATGTTGGCAAGAGGCTGTCTGTGCCTGTGTGTTCGCACTTTTTGTCACCACTTTCAACTCGAGAACTAGAAAAGCTAGAGAGCTGAAACTTCGGAAGTATGTGCCCACCATCTGTGCGGCCCTCCCATTCTAACATTATCATCCTCATACGCCTGGGCACGGACGCTTCAAAAAAATGCACAACTTTTTTGGCGGAGAAGTGATCTTGGCAACCAGACAAGACAGACGGCTGAAACGCTGCAGGGGTATTCTCCGTGCACTTGTGAACTAAAGATTTTGAATTTAGCCCCCAAGTATTCATGGTTCTCGTGCTCGGGCACGCGAAAGATTTGGCGGGGAAACTGCTAACTCTGTAACTAAAAAAGGTTGGAGACGAAATTTTAAGAGCCGTCCACGTGCAAATTAAAAATTTCAAATTCAACTCCCCGGTAAGCGTGGTGCTCACATATGGGCATGTGAAAGTTTTAGAGGGAAAATTACTAAATCGGCAGCCAGAAAGGCTAGAAGACTGAAATTTTTATGGCATATTCCCTTTCCATGCACAAATTGAAAATTCAACTTTCAAATGCGCACGACACTCACATACGGACATATGAAAGTTATAGCTGGGGAGTTACTAATTCGGGAATAAGTAAAGTTGGAAGGCTGAAATTTTCCAAGTCCAACTTGAAGACATCAAATTCAGCCTCAAGGTATGCATGGTTCTCATGTATGGGCACTTATAAGTTTTGGCGAGAAAACTGCTCATTGAACAGCTAGGCCATTTTAATATAACGACCATTAAACGAAAATTGTTCATTTTCTTTATGTAAAATTTACGATAATTTACGCTAGTGAGCGCAAAAAATAACAACCATTCATGCAATTAACGACTTGATTGCTTCATTTCTGATGCAAAAATGCATGATCGCACTGGCAAACCTGGCGCATTCCAGTCTGTTTTTTTTTTTTGCAAAAATTTTAGCGCCAGCAAACGAAGCTCATGATTATCTACGATTCTTAAAAAACTTTGACAATTATTTCGGCTATTAAATCCAGGAAAAGTCCGACAAGCCCTTTTGCTCTAAAAAGGTTTCATTACCACCAGTTCATGTATTTGACTATCGCATACCGACCAACATAACTGAGGGCTCTTTGGATAGTCTGTTCAGAAGAACTTGTCCGTAACAGGATCTATCATGCGTGAACACTACTAAGGACCCCTTTCATTTATGCTTCTATATATATTATGTTAGTGATGTTCCGAGACGAACAGTGCAGCTATGCCAAGTCCTTCGATTCTGGACTGCATGCCTCCAGTTGGTGCTTACCACCGACATGATCTACTTCCACTCACGCGTTGTTATAAACATCAAGGTTGGAGAATAACTGCACACGCTTTGAGCAATGAGAGTTGGTTCAGTTTAATGGTTTCAGCACCTCTCCCTTCTATTGTTATTTGTGGCTTATCAGCTCAACACTAATTTTAGCTGCAATTTTATACAAAAGCAAAGTATGCATGAAAAAGAAAACATAAGAACAGAATATCCCGCCGATCAGTTGTTTCAAAAATTACAGCTAAAAGTCGTCAATAATTCAGTAATGAAAGAAGGTATGAAGATAAAAGCAGGATTTGTCTAAATATAGAGAAAGGCGAATTCTACTTTTCAAAAACTCTATCGTTTGTCAATATAGAGATATTTCAGTAGTGCATGCAAACGGATAAACAGAGAACTGTTTCTGAAAAAATTCATAAAAAACATGCATACTTTTTGAATCCTCTTCTGGGGCAACGAGGTCGCACCGAAACTACGCAGTCGACGTTTTTCAGGCTCTCCGAAATTCTTTCCTTCTGCGTTACCCCAACTCATCGTTCGCTTCGCTTCGTGGTGCTTGCCTGAAACCATTTCCACACATAGAACTGACCACTGCAGATGAATACAATAGAAGAATGCAATATTGTGCGTGATGCTAGGTGCTGAAACCATCAAACTGAGCCAAATCTCAAAAAGTGTGTATTCATGCGGCAATTCTTCTTCAAAATTGATGTTTATGAAAACGTGTGAGGGATGTAGGCCATTTTGATGGAACCAAACAGAACACCCGGCCTTTTTTGTTTACAGTGATGCGACAGTAGGATTTAATTAGTTTTCACTAACTAATCAACTTACTTATCTCTTCCCGAATCTGTCTCAACTCTTCCAAGTGTCGCTTCCATGTTACCGCATTATCTTCAACCCTTTTCCTTTGCTCAGCCTTCTTCAGATTTTTCTTCGACCTCAACTCCGCGGCCTTCAGCCACACACTGACGTTTCGGTGCACATCCGTGTCTTGATATGAAAAGGATGTCCCTTGCTACAAAATTCGCGCAATTTTCAAGATGAACAGTACAGAAAATCACACATCGGACTGAAGCTCAGAATAATGATGACTGGAGTTGAAACAATTTTGCATAAATAGCAGCGCGCACCAGGGTAGCTAATGCGAACAGCGTTTTATGCAGTTCTATCTAGAAGACATTTACTGTGGACGACATTCACTGCTTTGCTGCTTGGTATGCACAGAAATCATTGGGATGTTCGGCCAAAGTTACGCTTTTTTGTATGTGAGATCTAGGCGCATGTAGAAGCTGGATCTAATATTTCCGGAGTTTAAAATGGACAAGAAACATCCTCTTGAAATTTCGATTTTCTGCCTTGCTTGACTCCGAAGCTGCGAAATCTCCTGACAAAGTGCAGGAGTTCTTACGTGAAAACGTAGGCGCTTGTGGATGCCAAATTTAAAATTTTTTGCGTCGCACATAAGCACATAATATCTTCCTAGTTTTTGTGATTATCAGGTTAGTAATTTCCCCCCAAAATCTCATGTGCCCGTACATGAGATTTGAACTCACATGACAACTGAATTTGAAATCTCTAGCTTGCACACATGCATCGCGCATTTTCATAAAATTTCAGCTTACTAATCTTTGTGGCTCCCGGATTAACAATTTTCGTGTCGAAACACACACATGACCTTACGTAAGATCCAGATGTAAATGAGACTGAATATGCGTTTTATGCAATTGCTACAAAGCATATGCGCATAAAAAGCAGTCTATTCTGTTGATAATTAAGTCGCCAGATCCTTCTCCTCAAATATTCAGCTTCAATTCTCATCTCGATTTTCAATAACTTCGTTTTCTAAGCGGGCAAAATGCCTGTTAATGTGTTTAGAACTTCAAATCATCTGATTTACCTCCCTCGCCCCTCACAGATTTCTAGTGCTACAATATCAGAAACCTATGGACCTGCTGCTCGCTTCATTAGTGAGTGCACGCGGCTAACGCTGCTGCCACCCCAGGCCATCTCAAAGGCTCTTATAAATAATGCGATATCATAAATTACGCTGTTTACTTCTCAAAAGTTTTTGATTTCCACTTGTCATTTGCAATTTTCCATCCCTTACTGGCGCTCCCTTCGTCCTCTTTCCTTTTGCCTTACTGAGCAAAAAAGATATTTAATTGGCATCTCCCGGGCAGTTATGCTCCCATTTTTATGTGTTTTTTGCGTCTGTGCAATGCAAAAACGCATATTGTTTAGGGTTTGTCTGTGCGTGTATTTCTGTGTGTCTGTGTGTGTCAGTACTGATTTTTCATCTCAAGACCCAGAAAAGCTACAAGGCTGAAACTTAGGCAACTTAACTTACACGCATCTACAGGACCAAATCCCCAAAATGGACACTCTTGTCCAAGTAGTCTCCACGTACGGGCCCGTAAAAGTTTCTGATGGGCAAGCTGCTAACGAGGGAACCAGAAAGGTTAGAAAGCTGGAATTTTGAGGGAATGCTCTATGTCTACGTAGAACTTGATGATTTCAAATTCAGTCTCTTAGGTGTAAGTGGTTCTCACGTACGAGCCCGTGAAAATTTTTGGCGGGTAAGCTGTTAACTTGGGGACCAGAAAAGCTAAAAAGCTGAAATTCTGGGATGTCTTCTGACAGCCGTGGTGGGCAGTCCCAATTCCTTTAGCTAGAAATATCTGTTGGAAAAAACAGCCCGTTAGCGACAAAAATCCGCGAAGAGCTGCGCAAAAAGCGCGTCTTCGCACCGGCAATCAGTGCGCTGGCCAATTACTGTTCTCCGCAAACGTCAAAGAATTCGGCTAAATATTTGGTCTGATAGGCAAGCAGCGCAGGTTAACAGCTATTAAAAGAATAGACGCACTTCTCAAACATGTCTTTACACTGTTCTTGCCCTAAATAGAATATGAACAATGATTGCAAATCTGCTTATCATATGAGCCATTCTACACCATGTCAGATGTCCGCAGTCCCAAAAAGAACTTTTATTCTTGACAAAAAAAAATATGCGGAATTTTCTGGAAATAATACCGTTAAAAACACTAACAGAGACGCTGATAAAATATGTGCTCCACAAGGACTAAAGATGTCATCTAAACGTTGGTGAGAGGGAAGCGGACAAAATATCCATTTTTTTCGCAAAAACTGCACATTACTTACTAAAGCATCAGCAGAAAACGACTCATCTTTGACGCTGTGCTTCTCCATCCACGAGAAATACTTCTCCGCTCGCTCTTCGAACCAGTGCTCGCAGATTTTCTTCTCTACAAAAAGGTCCAAGAGAGTGCCAGCAGGAAATGATATCTTCAAAAGGTTCCGACTTTGTTACTGACTGGTACGGTGACCGTGCGGAAGCTATTTTTATCAACCTTCACAAACCCTCACAGAAAACGCTAAACAAGTGAGCGAATGTGAAGCAGCGCGCAAATATGAAATAAATAGCAGCGCACACCAGAACAGCCAGTGCGATCATGCGCACTGTGCAAGTCCGTCTACCGAACGACTGCCTGTTAATGATTTTCACTGATTTGCGCTTTAGTCGGTGCAAAAATAGTTGAAACGTTAAAAAATATTTAAAAATTTCATGCACTGACACAAGAAAAGTGAATTTGGAGCCTCGAAGGGTGAATATCCTTCCAAAATTTCAACCGAATTTTCTGGCTTCTGAATGATCTTTGAGACAAAACGTTCACGTGATCGTATGTAAGACCTCGGCATCTTAGGAGCAGAATTTGAGTTTGTAAAACCCCTGCTTAGCAGGAAACATTCTCCTGAAATTTTCAGTCTCCCAATTCTTCTGGCTTCCGAATTAATGATTTTTCTCGCCAAAACTTCCACGGGAACATTGAAAATTTGCGGAGTTGTACGTGGGCAGGGGATGCCATGCTAAAATTTCAATTTTCTAGTTTCTGCAGTTCACGAGATAATAATTTCCCTACCAAAACTTTCACGGGACAGTACGTGGCATCCGGGGGTGTGTGAAGGCTAAACCCAAATTTGTAGGGGTCATACGCTGATAGGGGACATCGCCTTAAAACTTCAGATTCCCGACTTTCGTGGTTTCCGAGGTAATAATTTTTCCCGCTGTTGCATCACGACCCCCTCCTAGGCAAGTCGTGCGCTGGCGCGAAAGCGGCCTATATAAGGCCGCCGTATCTGTATTGGAGGTAGTATCTTATCCAACGTAGTGTGTCGACCAGTGTCAATCCCGTCTAGTATCGTCGATCGTTCCCGTGCCGACCAGGACGACTTACGAAGGACGAGCACCCTGTTGCAACTTCATGTAATTGCCAAGAAACTGACGACCCAACTTGAAAGGCCGCAGTACCCGGCCATTCGACTGGAGCACCCAGACCGGTGAACCCAACGCTGCCGAAACTTTCACGAGGCTGTAAGTGATATCTGGACACGCGAGAAGCCTGTATTTAAATTTGCGAGATCGTAGGCGGGGAACACTATCACAAAACTGCGGCTTCTTGGCTTTTATAGTCCCCTAAATAATAATTTACCCGCCAAAATTTTCACGGAGCCGTTCGTGTTACTTGCGGGCAGGAGAAGGCTGAGTTTAAATTTTCTGAGTCGCATTTGGGCATGGAACATACCCACAAAATTTTAGCCTCTTAGCTTCCGTGGTTCCCGTGATGATAATTTTACCCATCCAAACTTTTAAGGGGCCGCACCTGTTACCCGCGGGTACGGGGAGGCTGAATTCAAATTTGCGTGCTACACGTGGCAGACTTTACCCTAAATTTTCAGCTTCTTAGCTTTTATAGTTCCCGAGTTGAAAGCTGCGGACAAGTTGCTGCAGACACACACACACACATAAACGCACACACACACAGACAATCTCGTGACAACATGCGTTTTGTGCTGCGTAACAGGTGCATCAGACGCATAAGGAAATTGATCATTCGCCTTCTTTTAACTGAATTAGCGCATGCCACGAAATCAAACTGTCATCAGTTCACCTCTCAGCAACTCTCAGGAAAACGAGCCACTCGCAACGCTGCCAACGAGTGCCGCCGTTGCCATCCGTCACCGCCTGGGCTACTCCTGAGTGCTTGCATTTCTCAGAGAGGGATTCACTGCCCCGGTGACCGAGCTGAATCCCCGAACTCGTACAGAGGCAATCCAAAAAAAAAATAAATAGCAACACGCACCAGACCAGCCGGTGCGATCATACGTTTTGTGCAATTCAGCCCATCGAACGATTGCCTATTAATGATTTCCACTGCTTTGTATTTTAGTTTATGCAAAAATAGTTCAAACGTTGGAAAACAGTTAAAAATTTCACGCACCAGCGCATGAAAGCTGATTCGAAACCTTGAAGGGTGAATATCTTTCCGTGATTCCCGAGTTAATACTTTACCCGTCAAAATTTTTACGAGGCCGTAGGTGATACTCAAGAGCGCGGGAACGCAGAATTTGAATAGGCAAGGTTGAGCGTGGGTAGGGGGTCATTACCCTAAAATTTCAGCCTTCTAGACTCCGTGGTTTCCGAGAGATTAACTTACCCGTAAAAAACTTTCACGGGGCCGTACGCGTTACTCGCGGGTACGGGAAGGCTGAATTCAAATCTGCTGCGTCATCCGCTGGCGCGGAACACTATACCAAAATTTCAGCCGCCTAGCTTTTGTAGTTCCCGAGTTGAAAGTGCGGGACAAA